GGAGAGAGAGAGAGAGAGAGAGAGAGAGAACAGCCAGAAAGACGGGATGAAAAATTAGATTTACAAATCTGTCCTGACTACTATGAGATTGCTCGCTTACCGGGGCAGAGATCCTCAACTCGAATATTTCTTTACTCGCGCGTAAAAAAAAAGTAGGAACTTGTTAAGGAGCTTCGATCTTTCCATTTTCTTCGCCATCTCGAGATTTTCGTCCCGATACTGCGATAATCCTCTCCCCCTCTCTCGACGTCGCGCTCTTATCGCGCTGGCTGGACGTAGAAAAAAAAAAAAAAAAAAAAAAAAAGGAAAAAAATTTGCGTTCGCGTCGAGATCGTCCGGAAATTGAATTGCGATCCGAAAGTTGCGCGATTCCGCGAAAGTTGACAAGGAAAAGGAGAAAGGGACGTCGGTCGAATCGAGCACCACTGGAATGAACGCCGCCGCTATATCGGGAACATAGATACAGGGAAGAGGAGAGGATCCTCCCGGGTTTACGGTAACAACGCGAGATCTCAGACAACGCGTTTTCCCCGAAGCGAGCGAAAGGAGCGGCGCGTATGCACGTGTCACGGTCCTACCGTCTATCTGTGCGGATATATGGAAGCGCCTCTCCGGCGCCTGCCTATGAAAAATGAACGCGGTCGTCCGCTCGTTCGTCTCGCTTCGCGTTGAAACAACGTTCCGCAACAACAACAGCTTTTTCACGCCGATTCGCGACACGTCCGTTCTCCCGAGGATCCGTTGGGGCAGGGAACGGAGGGAAGAAGGGCTTGGGAGAGATCGAGCGGAGAATAATCGAGCGTTTTCGAGACGCGATAAGTTACGCAAATGCAGGCCTGTTTGGCCCGTTTCGTCGCGTACTTTTATCTTCCCCTCCGCTAGGTTTATCGCGGCAACGTCACTACTTATTAGCCGGTGGTATCTCGTGGCTGCGAGAGCTCGCTCGCTCGCGACCACGCTTGTCCCGCACTGATCTCCACGCGGGAGGAAGGTGAGTTTGATCGGGCCGTGGTCGGCCGAGAACCAGTTTCTCGAAACGTAACCGCCGCCGCGTTCCAGATATAGAGAGAGAGACACTACTAATCGACACTTGTAGCGACCAGCGTTTCCTCTCTCTTCGATCGCGAGGCCGAGAAGGAGGTGTTTCCTTCGAGTCGAGCAGCCGGAGCCAAGATTCGTTGATTTCTTTTTTTTTTTTTTTCTCGCGAGAAAATACGCGAAAAAATTCCGATTCCGATCGGAAAAAAAAGAAAGAAAGAAAGAATGTAAGAACGTAAGAACGAAGAAATGAAGAAAGAAAGAAAGAAAGGAAGGAAAGAAGGAAGGAAGGAAGGAAGGAAGGAAGGGTGTTTTCTCGCGCGAACTTGCAACTTGTTTGAAGTTCATCGCTTGCGACGAAAGTCGCAAGCCCTCGATCGGGGTAAAGCGTTACCTCGATGACAGGTGTCTCTAACCACAGTAACTCTCTACCACTGTGCAGCTCCAGGCCAGGAAGACCACCGAAGAGAGCTTCAGTCGGTTTGAGCCTCGCAGCCAGCCACTTGGCCGCGGCTACGACCGGTCACCACCCCCAGCATTCGCTCAAGAAGCACAGAATGGACAACGGGGATTACTACGAGAACGGGCATTTGGGTAAGTGTATCCAACCTTTCTCTCTCTCTCTCTTTCTCTTCTTCTTCTTCTTCTTCTTCTTCTTCTTCTTCTTCTTCCACGTTCGTCCTTTCGTCCACCTCGGTGTAACAGAGAGACCGTCATCGTCAACGCTCGATCGATTCCGGTTACGAGCGCGCGAACGACTTTTCAGCCATTCGCGGCCTCTCCCCCCTTCCTCCCTCTCCCACCCGAGACGACGTTCGTATTTCACGCCGCGTTCCTCGTTCACTCGTTCCTTTCTCTCGATAACCAACGCCACACGTTTTATATGGAGACGACGAGGATTTCGCGACAACGTTGTTTCACGATCTTGTCGGGTTGACCGTTCCACACGGCTGTGAACAACGCGCGACACGGCTGAGACACAACATCGCGGCTCGCGTCGGACAGGATCACGTCGCGTGGCAAAATTTCTGCGTGGAATAAAAATAAATCCGATCGAAACGGTGTGAACGGTTTCACGGTCGATATTAAAATTGGAACTTTTCTTTCGATTTCGTGAGATATTCCAACTTTTTATCGATTTCGAACGTGACGCGGGGAGGGGGGGGAGGGGGAGGAAATTTGTCCGATCGGAACTTTGTCGTTCACACGACAGATTCGTATATAAATCGTCGGGTATCGTCGAGTCGAAATTGGCACGATGATGAAAAGACGTCGGAATCGGCGGAGTGCATAGGTGAACCCTCTGTTTGCTCGCGTAGATAGCCCTGGTACCAGGGGCACGCACTTGATTACCGCCATCCGTATACGCGCCATGGTGACCCTACCGATCAATTAATTACGGGAATCAAACACACTTGGAGTGAGCAAATTAACTGCAGCAACTGCACACAGGTCGTGTTGCGGTCTGTGCTAGCGGTTCCCGACGCCGATATTCCACACATTCCTCCTCCTTCCATCTCTAAATCTTCTTAATTCGCCGACGTTTGCGTTGCCAAATAAATTCCAAACAACAACGAGAGAAAAGAAAAAGAAAGAAGCGGGAAGAAATTTTTCCAAAAAAATTCCACGAAATGGAAATTCCTTTTCCATCCTTTTCCGTCTGTGCTTCTCGAAACCTGTGAACTCGATTCGCGCAAAGAGTCACTCGGGGATGGGGGGGGGGGAGGGAGGATGGTGGAACGAGCGGGCGCGCGTCTACGATCGCCGTTTTCGGAAATTTGGTTAAGCAAATAATCGCGAATACCGCCGCCCGTTCAATTTTACGGGCAAATACGTTTGACGGTGGAACGTTAATGAATTAATGGCACGCGGACGGGGCGTGAGCGCGGATCGCAACAGCTCGACGATTGCAGCTCGACGGGGTAAACGTTGAAACGGCTAGCAATTAATTACGAGCCCGCGGTAATTGTATAATTGTTTTACGATTGGATCCCCTTTCCGGCTACGATTGATCGCGCCGCGTTTCCTTTCTCCGCTCCGCCAGGATGCCCCCGCCTCGCCGGCGGAGGAGCTCGCTCGTTTTACTCGCCACGCAACCAACCTCGTAAAATGGGGATCGTAAACATTGGAGTGTCGTGTGTGTGTGTGTGTCTATGTGTATGTGTGTATATATATATATTCGTCGCGCGTCCTTTTAATCTCTCCACACCACCGTGGAAAAGATTCTCTCTCTCTCTCTTTATTCCTCTCTCCTTTTCGAGGAAATACTTGGCGCTTTTTTTCCCCCCCTCTCCCTCCCACCCCCTCTCGTAAAAGGAAGGGGATTGCGTTCGTCACGGGTTGGCAAAAGTTACGCGCACGCGTGTGTGCGTGTACGTGGTTTAATCGTCGTGGGTAATAAACGAAGGGGGTTATCGAGGACGCGATCGAACACCCAGAAGCACGCGTTTCGCGCCGAGGATTATCTTCCATCCCTTGCGATATCAATTTACAAAGTGGCGAGAGAAAAAGAGAGAGAGAGAGAGAGAGAGAGAGAGAGAGAGAGAGAGAGAGAGAGAGACTCTCGCGAGATAGCCCTGGTACCAGGGGCACGCACTTGATTACCGCCATCCGTATACGCGCCATGGTGACCCTACCGATCAATTAATTACGGGAATCAAACACACTTGGAGTGAGCAAATTAACTGCAGCAACTGCACACAGGTCGTGTTGCGGTCTGTGCTAGCGGTTCCCGACGCCGATATTCCACACATTCCTCCTCCTTCCATCTCTAAATCTTCTTAATTCGCCGACGTTTGCGTTGCCAAATAAATTCCAAACAACAACGAGAGAAAAGAAAAAGAAAGAAGCGGGAAGAAATTTTTCCAAAAAAATTCCACGAAATGGAAATTCCTTTTCCATCCTTTTCCGTCTGTGCTTCTCGAAACCTGTGAACTCGATTCGCGCAAAGAGTCACTCGGGGATGGGGGGGGGGGAGGGAGGATGGTGGAACGAGCGGGCGCGCGTCTACGATCGCCGTTTTCGGAAATTTGGTTAAGCAAATAATCGCGAATACCGCCGCCCGTTCAATTTTACGGGCAAATACGTTTGACGGTGGAACGTTAATGAATTAATGGCACGCGGACGGGGCGTGAGCGCGGATCGCAACAGCTCGACGATTGCAGCTCGACGGGGTAAACGTTGAAACGGCTAGCAATTAATTACGAGCCCGCGGTAATTGTATAATTGTTTTACGATTGGATCCCCTTTCCGGCTACGATTGATCGCGCCGCGTTTCCTTTCTCCGCTCCGCCAGGATGCCCCCGCCTCGCCGGCGGAGGAGCTCGCTCGTTTTACTCGCCACGCAACCAACCTCGTAAAATGGGGATCGTAAACATTGGAGTGTCGTGTGTGTGTGTGTGTCTATGTGTATGTGTGTATATATATATATTCGTCGCGCGTCCTTTTAATCTCTCCACACCACCGTGGAAAAGATTCTCTCTCTCTCTCTTTATTCCTCTCTCCTTTTCGAGGAAATACTTGGCGCTTTTTTTCCCCCCCTCTCCCTCCCACCCCCTCTCGTAAAAGGAAGGGGATTGCGTTCGTCACGGGTTGGCAAAAGTTACGCGCACGCGTGTGTGCGTGTACGTGGTTTAATCGTCGTGGGTAATAAACGAAGGGGGTTATCGAGGACGCGATCGAACACCCAGAAGCACGCGTTTCGCGCCGAGGATTATCTTCCATCCCTTGCGATATCAATTTACAAAGTGGCGAGAGAAAAAGAGAGAGAGAGAGAGAGAGAGAGAGAGAGAGAGAGAGAGAGAGAGAGAGACTCTCGCGATATCCGTTCCTCTCGATCGCGACGTAATAAGACGAATAAGAAGGAGAGGAAAGGGGGTACAAGAACGAAAGGGGATAAAGAGAGAAAGGGGAGATAGAGAGAGAGAGAGAGAGAGAGCGGCGTGGCTCGCTCTACAGGGGATTTTTTTCAATTTGAACCGGTAGGCGAGCGCCACTTGCCATAACGCAATTAATAAACTCAACGAGCGAGATCCGATCCCGATAACGGCGGCATAACATCCATTCGGGACGTGGCTGGCACAATGGCCGGCACAATGGCCGTGTATATACGTGGATCGAAGGTTGGCTCTCGGTACAGGCAGCGGCCGATACGCATCTATGTTGTCTCTACAAAATTAAAACCCATGAGAAAAATAAATAGCTCGAAGGGGTGAGCCCTTGCTGGGTTGGAGGAAGAGATGGAGAGAGAGAGAGAGCGCGGGGGGGGTTGTTGTTGGCTCGGCTTAGGTTAACGACGCCGCGGTGCTCCTCTCTCGTGCGCCGCGTTCTTTTCCCGATGGAAAATCGAGCCAACCCTCGACCAACCGGCCTTCTGCTCGAATCCTCGCGAGTTCTCTCCTCTCTCCTTCCTCTCTCCTCCTCTCTCTCTCTTTTTTCTCCCCTCCTCCCCCCCCCCCACCGCATTCGGTCCGATCGTTTTTCGATCAAACTATTCCCGGAGCTGGAACTATTAGGCTACGCTACGCGTAATAAACTAATGACTATCGGCTAACGTCGACCCGTTCTCGACGTGCGCGTTTTCGGCCTCCCCCCGTAATTATTTAATGCATCGATTACCGAAATAGCATTAATCAAATTGGCCGGCCGGCTATTTATATTATATGACCTAATGCACGCCGGAATCGTGTATTAATGCGCAAACTAAGTAAATTATCCAAGCACTCCTCCCCCTCCTCCTCCCCCTTCCTTCTCCCTGTTCACGCGCGAATTTTCCTTTCTTCCTTCCTTCCTTCCTTCCTTCGAGGGAATCCTCGAGAGCGCAGCGGGTTTGCTTTCGATTCGCGGATCCATGCGGCGAAATCTAAGTTTCAACGACGCTGCATCGTCGAGCTAAAGTAAAGAGCATCGATTGAACCGTTTGCCGGTCGTAGGTCGGTCAGCGCGGCTCTCTATGAAAGCGGTATCTACGAAACCCGGTTAATAGGGGGTCGATATCGCGCCATATCGACCGTTCCCTTTTACTTTTACGAGACGAACACTCTCTCTCTCTCTCTGTCTCTCTTTCTCTCGAGATCGAAAATACGAATCCGTGCAAAGCGAGTACAGTTCGAAGGACGAGTCCGTTTCTTCTCTCGACAGTGGTCGAGGTGGTCGAAAGGGGTCGAAGGAGAAGGGGGGAGAGACGAAGGACGAGAACACGGGTTGGCGTGGAATTTTCAGGCTGCGGTCGGAAATTCGGGGGAGGGGCGGCAAAACCGAGTTTGGACGGCGAAAGTGAAATAATCCTCGCGATTAAACCGGGATAATAATAATAATAATCGTGGTGGAATAGAACGGTCGAGGTTAACCCGCGGATAAGGAGGGGGATAGGAACGTACGAATATGTACGCCGGATCGCGCGCATGGAAGGCGGAGGGACGAAACGGGCCGTGGTATGAATTAAAACCCGTTCGTTGGTGGAACATCGTGGCGCGTCGCCGTAAATCAGGCGGGGCCCGGAATTTTCGCGTTTCGCCCGGTTTTTTCGCTCGTCGCACGCTGCCCGCTGATGAAGACGTTAAGGGGCGACGCGGGAGAAAAAAGTGGTAGGCTCG